TTTCAAATGAGCAAAATATTGCAATATTGCAATGGTTAAAGAGTTTGGGGATAATGTCTTTAAATATGTTTATGGTTGTCGGTATTTGAATGGCGGAACCGAAAACACGCAATCTTATATGGAACCGACGCGCATAAAGCATGCAATCTTATATGGAAGCCTACGCGCAATCCTATATGGAGCCTGAAACATGCAATCTTATTGGAGCCTACGCGCATGAAACATGCAAACACAGACTACAGTCAACTGCCTTTAATTCGTCCCTCTTTAATTCGGATTTTCGATAATCCGGACGCTTGATGCCGGACTCGTTTTTTCATATCAAATTCCTTCCTTTTATTCGTCCATAATTATGAAATCTCGATTAATTCGGTTCGGACAACTGTAAGTGATTAACTGTATAAATTAAGTATTGTAAAATCTAACTTTAATTCGTCCACTACAGATCATTACCCATATTAATATATGTAATAATTTCTTGTTAATTCGGACACGCTTAATAAAATCCAGCCGTCCAAATTACGAAAGAGTTTTTTTTATGGATTGTTCCAAAAACAAAAACATCCCAAACCCTATACACATCTAACTGCCGCAAAAAAACTCAAGATGTTCTAAATCATAATAACAAAAGATAATTTTGATAAAAATTTCGTTAAAAGAAGGCGAAGATGCATTAAGACAGTCTTTATCGTTTCTTGAACAGAATAACGATAACATTAATATTCGTGTAGATTATTTATCAATCGTTCGTCGGCTAATTAGTCAAGTTTCATATCGTAAATTACAGTATACTTTAGAACCTTTTTCAAAATTTGTGGCGGTTTTTGTCACACCATGAATCGATAATATAAATAATTCGGATGATGGCCTCGGAAAGTTGGTGTCCGAATTGACTGTATATGATGGATCGCGGTCACAAATCGTTAATTGATCACATTTGCTGCACACGTATCTTAATAGTCTTTCTCACGAGCAAAATAAGTTCATTGGTAGACAACGGCAACCTTTCCGGAGGTGGCAATGTTTCAACCGAGACACATATGTCTCTTGGATTTTACTTGCACTTTTGTAGGTAATCTTATTCTGAACCAGGGTTGTAAAAATGTGGTTTGTTTAAGAATGTGAGTTAACCGTGTTTATTGAAATTGGGAATGTTCGAAAATTGCACAACGGTGTGTTACATATGATTTTTCTATAGAATTCAATCCGCCATAGTAATAGGATAATGCATTATAATACATAGCAATCAACCTGATACAAGGTAAACTCGTTAAGACGAAGCCACGCTAAGCCGAAATCGCATTAAGCCGAAGTTTTTCTGATTTCCCAATTTTTATTATGACGAAATTTGTTAATAATTCACTTAAAGAATAATTTTATCTAATGCTAAGCTTTCACGTGAATGTAGATTGATTGGTTTGTTTCTTGAATGAACGATTCGTTTTTTGCACGCCAAAAACTTTTTTTTACATACCGTTGTAATGTCACAAACGACCGCTCGATTGTTTATCGAAGTAATCAGGCAGTTTTGTTTACGAATCATACGTCCATTTTTTTACCCATTACAGCATTTCGGCCATCTACATATTTGCGCGTCAGGTTTGTATACTTTCTTCCCGACAAAGTCTTTTCGTTTGAACACACATATGGGTAGGTGCTTGTCTTAATCCTTCAGAATGAACAATCTTGGAGGAAGTTCAACAGATAAAAGCTGTTTGGTTCAATGAAAAACTACAACCTTCTCAAATAACATTCAGTGTTCCACTAAATTTTACTAGGGAAGAACTTGAACTACACCTATATGTTAAATATATATATTGGTTTGTGACCTTAATATTAAAACTTAACGTTAATTTTAAAAACCTCGGCTTTTTTTGATGAGATTCACGTAATCAAGGATAAAAACTAGTAACTATCATGAGGAACTCTTATTCACAACAAGATTGTAAAAGCCAGTAACCTAGTTATCCACATGTTTCTTTTTATAGAAGTATTTGTTATATGCGTGTACCCATTACTTTATTTGATAAAATAAATCAAATTTGGCAAAACTTCGGCCGTATCAAATGCGCGCTCAAATCATTATTTGTTGATTATTTAATGACTGCAGTCATTTGACGATTAATATTTGTGCGCTGAAGAATTTGATTCAGTAACATCGCGGTTTTACGATGAAGTGAATTCACTCCAAAAAGATGTTACATTCGATTAGTAGGAATTAGACGTAATATTTCCCAAATGACTTATTATCGCATTAATTAGTTATACGATGCAAATTAGAGGTAATGGGATAGTTATTCATCTTAATATTATCTCGACATGTATATAAACAGCGGTTGAATCCTGGCGATTCAACATGTCCAGATATCTGTAATAATGCTCACGAAATGTTCATATTAGGAGGCATGTTCATAAGGCAAGGCATGCTAGTAGACACGCTTTCAGACATTCGATCAAATATAGAAGAAAGAGGAAAGGTGCAAATAGGTTCTGATTTCTCTTATTATTTGCGATCGACCTATGGATATTAATTCTTCAGTAGTAAATTTGCTAATATATACACACGTGATAAAATTTCTTGTAGTGAGCGATTGCGATAGCGGATATCTCTTTACTTAGCAATAATCATTATGAATATAGTACTATCGCCATGTCATCTATCATCCTGCAAATGACAATGATTTTGGGTATTGCTTTGAAGCTAATTGATTGTACTCGTCGAAAATAATGATAGTGTATGGGCAGTATTTCTATAAAGCGGTAGTTCAATAAAGTCGCAGTGTATAGAAATATATACAGTGGATACAAAAAGTTTGTGAATCTTTGTGTGAATCTTTGTGTGAATCAATAGTAAAAACAAAAACTTTTTCGAAAATATTTATTGTTGTATTTACAATATAAGTAGCAATGCTTTTAATATTTATAGGAAGCGAATTGGTTGTACTTTTTGGGAAAAAAAGCTTATTAAAATATAGTTTGATAAAGTGACACTATATACGGTGTGTTGCAAAAAAGAAGAAGATAGTTTGCAAATAAATCTTTGCTGACTGATAATAAATTTGATGTGCTTGTTTACAAACTAAATGCAAATATATATAGCTGTTTACCTTCCATTGAACGTATTTGTAAAAGTAAATTTGGTTTTCTTTGTTTACTTTTTTTCAACTTTTTTTTCATTATTATTATTGCAGTTTGTTTCGTATAGTTCAATAACATGGTTAAATCAAAATTGAAACCAATTTTGTATTTTTGACGTAATAGTATTTGTTCAGCCAAATAAATACATTAAGCAACTAACATTTCTCTGCGTACAATCGAAAGTAAGCTCAGGAAAAGCACACGTCTAGCTTTGCAAAGAATATTTTGCAAAAAATTGAATAAATGTAATTGAATGGCCATCCGGATCTAGACAACATGTGGCTTATTATGAAAAAACGTTGAAAAGAATGCTCAAGAATATAAACGAGTTGAAGCAATTTATGAGTGAAGAATGGAAAAAGATTATGGCACAAAATATTATTTTGTCTATAAAATATATGTGAACTGGTTGTACAGCAGAATGGTAATAGAATTAGATATTGAAAATTTTTTATTTAATAAAGCAACATTTAATCTTTCAAATAAAGTTAGATTTATCCCATTACATTCTGCAATTGCAAAAATATTTTTTTACTATTGCGGACGTCAAATAAATAAGCCTCGAGTGAGCTATAATTTCAAAAGCTACGGTAATCCGAAAATAAGGATTGGAGTACAAACTGCAGGTGTGTCAATATAAACAGTCACATGCTTATTTTCGGTTACGCGTGCACCAGAATTTTGGTGAATACGAACCGATGAATGTTATCGAAACTAACTGAGATTTACTTGCTACTTGCATACTTGAGGACAGCTACGAATTAGTGTTTAAAGATTCTCAAATTGGAGTTCTTTTTTAAGATAGTCTTTCTGCCAAAATGTGTTATCTCGCATTGCACACACGTAATACTTCTTTCTTAGGGGGATAATTTTGCATGCTAAATTCGCGCTGCTGTAATAGAAAGAAAATTTTAATAGCTTAGAATTGGCAGAGTTGGCACAATTTCTGCAAGATGTGTTTTTCATGACAAGGTCGGTCAGAGGAATATTCGAGGAACATTATCCTCAGAGTAGACACGTTCTCACGAGACTTAGTTTACTACGCATCTGAAACTTGACACAGAACTTTCAAAAAAGTGCCAAGCCACTGGCTTCAGTGAACATGTAATGAGCTAACGTTATTTCAAATAGTTTCTATTATTTGAAAGTGTGGCGAGACGCGAGCCTTATGAAAAGTGCATATTCCTACTGTAAGATAATATTAGGGAGTGACTTTCAAAGGATTCTTAGTCGTAGTAATTAGTAGAATAATTGCCAATATCTGACGCTGTTTAAAGAGAATTATTAAAGAGCTTGGACGATACTCTTGTACGTAGAACAGTGAGCGAAGGAAGAGGAAATCTAATCCCTGGCTTCAAAAAGTTAGGGAATTCCTTTTGATTCACTCCTTATTTGTCCAGAATGCCAACTTGATCTTTTGTTTTTGTGATCGCCATACTATCTGTGATGTGATAGGGCAGTCATGCACCTGCCTGAAAATACTAGTTTCTTTTCATAATGCCAGTTATATAATAAAAAGTCTCTCATAGATGCCATCTTATCACCACTATCGTCGTCAATTCCAATATACCTGTCTTTATTTTATCCGACTTCTCTTCCGCCGACGTTTACGTAGGCTATTTTTCATTTTCGCCTTCTTAACACCTGCATTCCTTATCCTCCGTCGGCTCACGTACTCCTTTCCTGCAATTCCCCCCGATCAACTGTTTCCCCGTCCTTTTCATAATATATCTCAGCACAAAGCACGCATTTGTAACAGTAATAATTTCTGCTCATACTGGTTGCCAGGATATTGGAAAGACGATAATTTGAGGAGACAGAAATTATATCATGATATCGATTCGGTTGAAGTGCCGATTGGAATGACCGTTACGTTATTGACAACGAACGAGACGAGAAAGGTGTTTCAGTATGGTGTCGGGGAATGCGTTGATGAAGACACTTGCAGATATGTGAGTAGATTAGACATCAAAGGTACTGGTAATGAGCAACGGAAGAAACTATACGGTGTAAAAAAGGGATGGTTGTGAGCACAAAGTCTAAAGAAGGGAGCTGGTAAAGACAGGGTGTCTATTTTAGGCCTTAGTCTAATTGTTTTTGCGTTTCAATAGTGGACTTGCGACTAGCCTTAGAACAGATTCATGCATACAGTAAGTTAATGATCATTTGTCTTAATTGTGCTTGACGTTTGTAAGCTAATGACCTTTTTTTTTCTCTCTCCAGTTGATAGCAGAAAATTAGAAGAACTGATTTATTATCACAAGCCACAGTTTACGTTCACAAAATCGGATGTGACCTTAATTAGTCAGTTTACTGTCAATAGATTAGAGCGTTTCGAGCAGGCATTAGGTGCATGGCCAGGCCCTGTATCAGCCGTAATGTGAGCAATAGCTATGTATTTATGGTTGGAAATTTTTGTTAATCTACGTACACAACTTCTAACATACTTCTCTTCCTGATTTGGATAATAGTTATCTAATTTCTCCCCACGATATTGACGTGCTAATTACATACTTTTCGATGGATAAGAATGTTTACTTATACAATCGAGTTGATCTTACGATTGTCAAGCCAGATTACTCAAACGATATCTACCTCAAATATCCAATCAACAAACTTCGTAATATCGGAATAGAGGCCGCACCAACTAATTACATATTTGTTATGGACGCCGACTTTGTTCCTACACCGCGACTATATGAGTTTGCCGTTTCGTACATAGTGCCACAGCTACAAACATTGGAACGACCAACGGTGTTTATTGTGCCGTGTGTCGCATTGGTTGAAAATTATGAGGGACAACCTCCAAGAGATATAAGCGATCTTAGGCGCTTGTATTCTAATGGTTGGGCGTATGTCACTGATCCACGAGCAGGACATGGGCCAACAGGGATCAGGCTGCTTTTATCACATCCGTTGAAGGTATCTCGGCCGTATTATGAAGTTTGCTACGAGTCCCAATGGGAGCCATACTATATATTACCGAAGAGTGCGCCGATGTACGATGAGCGATTCAGGAACCAAGGAGGAGATAAGCAACAGCATACGTTAGCTCTGAATGCCCTTAAATACAGATTTCTCGTACTAAGGGAACACTTTATATATCATTTGGATCATGCCAAGCTTCTGTGGCCTGGAGGGGGTTTTAAGCATGCACAATTGACAGAGAAAGAATTTACGTATTTTGAGCATTATATTCCAGAAATGGAAAAGAAATTCGGAATCAGTGTTAGATGGCCAAGGGGGTGTTCTCGGGCACTTTTTAGAGATCAAATGCGAGATTTGGTTGGGATTGGAGTTGGATAAAACAACTTGGATTCGCAATTTCTATTCTAAATTACTAAAAGTAGATTTAATCCATAGAATAATTGACTAATTGGAAATCAGTAATAGAATTTGTTGATATAGACCAATAAAGATAATACTGCCGTTGATTTTGATTGGTGAACGTATATCCAATGACAACACGTTATGCCATAAAATTCAAATTTTCGAGGATAATGGTTCCTCACGTGGGTGTTTGAAAAAGCACGCGGCAACTTTAAATTAGAATCTTCGAGTTGATAGGCCATTTGCCTGTACCATCCGATTGGTCTATGTTAGTTGCGATAGAACCATATTATGAATTCCGTCATTAGTAAACCTGTTTCGACTCAAGTGTAACTGGTCAGAATATCGGACAGACAGAAAATTAAACGGTGACACTGCTTTTCATGATGAGGGAGAAGCTTTTGCTTCCATACGTCCACTGCCGGGCTGTGGCGGGCGGGGGATAGATTTATGGCAAGTAGACAAATGGACGTTGTTCGTCAATCAAGTGTATCACTTTGAGTACGTAATGAATCCCAAATAAAACTAGAAATAGGAGGCATTAGCAACGTTGTTCAGCATGTTTCGGCTGTGCGCTACACGGCTGTTTCAGATCGGTTGATCTTAAGTAGTATCGCCGGAATTTATTTTTAATTGAGCTATGTTGTCACTATTGGTATTCCAGGAGACTTTTTATGGCTAAAAATAACGCAAAAGAAGGGTGTTTGATGGTAACGGGCATATTTCAGTAACATACAACAACAAGGCAATGCTGACTACGGAGTTAAATTCCGAAATCTTTGTCTGGCCCAGCGAGTATTCCGCCGAATAATATTGTGAGTGAGATATCCCCCTTTTTTTCCATGCTTTTGATGTCATCTCAAATTTCAAATTTCATCGCAACACATGGCTGAAAAACAGTAACATTATGATGCAATTGTAATAATGGCATCATATCAGCAAATCAGACAGGTTTAATTCCCCATTGTAGCTCGGCAGATAATATGTCTTTGTTTCCGTTACTGTATGCCGATCAATTTTCTAATGCGCAGCTAACACCGGATTGATGTCTCCGGACCAATTTCAAATTGTGTATTCTGCTTTTAAGGACGTATTCGGATTAACGATAGAAAGCGCAAGTTGCTAATTTAATCGATTCTGTTTACTATTTTTATAATCATCCTTCCGAGTTTGGCTGTTTGAAAGTTAGTAAAAAGTAGCTTCAGCGTTTAGCGATATTACAGACTAGATCAACTGTTCCCTCTCGACAATATCCACTTACAAGCCTCATTCTTATTCAGCATTCGGTATTCGGTATTCGGCATACGGCATACGGCACTCGATTGGTTTCCAATTGCGGTTGTTAATCCGCAAGAAGTTCAAGTTCTCTTTGTGGCCATGGTACAACGTCTTTGTTTACTATTACAATTTAGTGGTCGGTCGGATATTTGAAATGTTAGTAATTCCCTCCCCTTACTTTTGTCAGAACTTTAAGAAAAGTTAAACAACCAAAAATTTTATTCATTCTTCCACAATTAGATATTCTGCGGCTCTTAAAAGGTATGCAGCATATTTGAATTAAAAAGGTAAGACAAACTGTAAAGGTTGCCATTCATGCAGAATATGATTTGCTAGAAAAATCCCTCCCCCACCCTCCCATAATGGTGTCGTGACTAAGTTAATTTGAAATATGACAAAAAACTTTTTGATAAGTTTTTACTCAACTATGTTTATCTTCGATGCGTTTGTGTAGAAACTTATGTAACAATTTGACGTCCTGGCCATGACAAATACCCTATTTGTACACCGTTTGATTTGGGTACATTCTCCAAATAAGGTGCCAAATTCAAAATGCAAGCACCATTTTTCCTTTCTAGTCGGTACGTTCACTATATATGTACAACAAACCGTCAAAGCACGAGATAAAGCAAGCCAATAGTGCCACCGCAGAGCATTGATCTAATTATACATTGTTGAAGTCTTTAATTCTAAATGTAGCTAGAGCATAATCCCAACCTGCAGATAAATCGGAATCTTTAAATAAGTAGGGGCCAGAGATCACAGAGAGATTTATGGTATAAAATCAGAGAAGTGACGGGTACATTCCTTAGATGAAATTATAGTCGATATTAAAATATTCGATCCCTACTTGCTTATTTCTATTAAATTGCAACATTCCTTATAAATATTACTCTCTTCCCATGGATCCGATTGCATCAGCAATACTTATCCAAGAATTCAACACAATGACCGAAACAGAAAATGCTAATACTTGTATTCAGTACGAGCGAGGTGACAACGAACAGGAGCCTGTTCGAAAGAATCATCCGGATAATCAGAATCTCCCTAGACTAAACAACGAAAATCAATTGTCAGATTTGAGTGAGAAGCTCCTTAGTCTATACAAGCAAGGGCAATTGCAATTGAGCGAATTATTGTTTCCTTTATTCGTTAGTCCGCACATTACGCATGAGCAGTTCTCCCTTTTGCGTGAGTTATGGTTTTCGTTCAACCGTATTCCCTATAGCTTTCTATTTACCGGGGAGGAATTTTTCCATAAATTGGAAGCACTTAGTCGTGCTCAAACCGAAGAAGGATGGTTGTATGTGCGAGGGATAGTCAATGAGGCGTCTCTTATAATCAATGCCCAAAGCCCCAGATATTCAGACGGCGTCCCCGCTAGTAATCATTCAAATCTACCGTCACCAGCCGTGACACCTGGTCCTGAATACTCTTCTCCTGACAGCCATCAGAATACCATTAAACTTCCCTCGCAGGCCAAGAAATTGTCACATCAACCTCGAGCCACTTGCTCCGGCGCCACGGCTCGTAAATGCACTCGCCAACAGCCGTATAATGGAGGGGGATTTATAGTAATTCGCCCCACGACTGCCCCGCGCGAACTTAAGCAGTACATGAATGTGTGGAGTGTACAGGATTTGCCGGATACCAGCGATCCTGATATATTTAGAACAACGGGTAGCCAGAACGATTTCCCATATCATGTTTATGCTCCGCCACAAACACCGCAAGCACCGATCATTCCTTCACAATCCATTTGTCCGTTGTACGATTGTGAGCAAAATGATGGAGGGTTACATTAAGAGGATTTATTGGGTGGCTATATGTATGTATAGATAACCATATGATGACTTGTGTTTATGTTATAAGACTATAAATCTAGCGATAACAATAAGCTAAACAAAACAACACAAGGCAGTGATACTATGCTATGACTTATTACCTCATGTATTATGATATGTGTAATATCGCCGAGTCACTTCGGTTTCAAGATTTCTTTTTTTAGTCAGTTTCTGCATTATGTGCCGAATAAATATATGGTTATAGCCCGTTTAAGACAAAATCGATGTTATAATTTCCCCGATGAGCTTAGCTCGTTTATTTAAAAAACAGAATAAATTGTTATTTATGGTATTTTGGTTATATATCGTGTAACCAACATATTCTATTGTTCCAAACTACACTTTCAAAGTGTCAGTTGAACCCCCCCAACTCCTCTCTCTCTTTCAACAAAGTTAATGATATCCCCCTCACATCACACACTCTTTCAACATATCACACAAATTTAACATGTAATTCACCCCCATCTCGCTTAACATATAATCCAACATTTAATATTAGGTAGCTAATGTTAAAACCGGTTGTAGCACGTATGCGTAGATAAAGCTGAATATGTCTATTGTTCTTATAACAAGATCTGACATCTTACCACTGCTCAATATGAGCCTTTGATGATAGCCGTAACTAACATTCTTAAATTTTACATGAACAGGGCGACTCATTAGAGTAAGGATCTTATGCCAATCATTGAAACCGAATGCAAATTTGATTCTCGTGCGACGATTCTAAGTATATTCTTATCATCCCAAATGCAATCTTAACTATAATAATGAAGTTTATTATATGATTGCACCAAAAGACGAACCCGACTCCATAACTATGAACTATGAAAACTTATGTAGGCCGTAACGTATTCCCGAAATTTTGATATAGAGAACTGAATTGCGATGTAAGTATGAAAGAAGGAAAGCAGAGATGCTGGAGCTGGAAGCTTGTAACAATTTAAAATACTATCAAGAACGCAACCCTCCCCTCCTCCCCCTCCTTTACATTGAAGATTTCTGTTGGTGCGTTGAGCTATTTCAAGAAATATACCACAGCCACATATGTTGTATTTTCGATTTATGTAACCATTCTTTTCACCAGTAATAGTAATAATAATAAGCGTATTTTTTAACCAATTATACGACTTATACAGTTGTGCCACAAAAATTTGGACAAACTAATTAATATCTTTATTGCTAATCAAAGTTTACTATACATGCATTCCGCATGGCTGTGGCCTTATACAATTACACTCCCAGTAACTGCAAAAATGTATACTTATTGATCTTTAACTAAAGTCAATAAAAATTTGGACTTGTTGACCTATATTATCGAATCAATGAATGTCGTTGCATATTCAGCATAAAATCTAATGTGCAGCTCATTTGTCACAATTCCATTATTCAATATTATAAAGTTTACTTACTTCTTGTTCTTCCTCAGCGATAGCTTCAGCTTCGTCACTCTTTTCACAATATGGCTTCAACGACCTTTTGAGTGTTTTAATAATGACAGCGGATTGAGTATCCATTACTTTTTGAATCTGATCGTTGGGATCATCGATGATCTTATAGTATGCGGTCACTGCGTCAGTTGGTTGGAGGCCAGCCTATTTTGGAGACGTCACAACAACATAAAAATATTTACATGACACTTAAATGGTGACAAATCCAATGCCCATTTCTGGAACCTTACCTTCTTCCTCAATCTCTGTACCCTGTTGACAACTTCCCTAGCCCACCCCTCTTCCTGCAGCTGCCCATATATATTCACATTCAACAATATTAACACATCCTTATCGGTATTCGTTTCATGATGACCATTCTCGGCCTCAAAATATCGGACGACCGTAAGATCCTCCTCAACAATCCTAATTCCATCGATCATCATCTCCCCGTTTTTTACAAACTCTTTCACTTGATCAGATGTCAATTTGGGCAATGCTGCTCTGACTTTTGGTGTATTCTTTTGGAGTTTGGGTCCAAGGACTTTCCAATCAGCCTCAGCTCGGTACTTTATTCCATACTTATCTTCTTCCGATGTAACTATCAAAGATTTTATATTCAACTCCTATTGATGATAGACATTAGAAGAGAAATTAACAATAGACGAATTACGATAACCGCATATAATGGTTTGTGTAAACATAATCATACTTGTTTTGTGAAATCAAATTATTAAGCATAACATTTGAATAGTAGAAATATCATGTTTAGCATTAGCGTTACCTCTTTGATATAATTCTGTAGTGATAGTACATCCTCATGATATTGTGGGTCAGAATGTATAACGATTAATTCGCTTAATGGCGTCTAAAAATAATAATAGAAAACCAATTAATACTTTCTTGTTAACATTTTCACATTACTATTGCACCCGAACAGATTTGTCCCTATCCCAATGCCCCACATACTTTTAAGCCAATACTCTTTTTCTCACGTATGAACCTTCCAAGTTCAATGACAGCCTGCATACGGGATACTTGACGCTCGATTTCAGGATCGAAATACTCTTCTCTCACTTCAGGAAATGATAGGAAATGTATAGATCGGACATCGATATTTGGGTCTTGTGGTGGAAGAAAGGTCTTCAACGTTTGATACATGTTCTCCGTTAAGAATGGGGTAAACGCAGCCTGTTATTCAAACACATAAACAAACAGCTTTAGTAAAAACAAAGTGTCCACAGATTAATACCTGTATAGTTCAATACATATGCTATATTACATATTTACCATCACACGACATAACGTGAATAACACTTCAAAAAGCGTATTCAGTGCATCTACAGCATCGCTTGATCCATTTTCACCTTTTAGTCGTTTACGATTGAATCGCACGTACCAATTTGTAAGCTCTTCAATGAGCTGAAGAAGTCTTGGGACAACTGTGTACAAACGGTATGCTGGACATAACATTATGGGTGTAAGAATTAACCACTTTTCAAACCTAGGGCTTTCAAATCATTAGTTACCGGCCATCTCTTCTCTCACGAACTTAATTAGACTCTGACAAGAGGCCAGAATCCATCTGTCCATAACATTTGCCGATTTCTCGGCAGATGGATTGTATTTGAAATCAATTCCACTTTCCTAAACATAATAAGATTGTTTAACATTATAGATTATCATATCTCATTGTCTTGAAGATAAAAAATAATGACCAACCTTTTTGAGTAATAGAATTTGTGAACTGAAGAAACGATATGCATTATACCACGGCAAGAAGACCTTTGATAGCACTTCTTTCACACTTTCTTCCTTGAACCGCAATGGTTCAGCACGGACTACTGGAGAATTAATCAAGTACAACCTTAGAGTGTCTGCACCATAAGCATTAATAATTGTTGTTGGTTCTGGATAGTTTTTTAACCGCTTGCTCATTTTTCTGCCATCTCTAAATTGATGACATCAAGCAATGATTAGGAGTTTAATATGAAATATATGTATCGATGCTGATAATATTGTTAACAGAGAACACGTACGATGCCAGAACAAGTCCATTGACTATTAGATTTTGAAATGCTGGCTTGTCGAACAAATGAGTCGACAGTACCATAAGTGTATAAAACCATCCTCGTGTTTGATCAAGCCCTTCTGCAATAAAGTCGGCTGGGAAGGAAGCTTCAAACTTTTCCTTATTTTCAAACGGATAATGGCATTGTGCGTACGGCATGCTGAAGGCGTGATTAGGTCCAGTTAACATCAATTTTTGTATCCATGACTCGGAGATACGTTCGTACTATATTACCTGCCAGATTCAAACCAGCAATCAAAAACTTCTTCAATTCTCCTTAATACACCTTTTCCTGTCTTAGAAGGAATTGTGATGTGATCTATTTTATCACGGTGAATGTCGGTTAATTTATCGCATCCAGACAGCTCCTCGAGTTCAGCAATGGATCCTATACAGACAATCTTTCAAATTTCGATTTGTTAAGTAGATCGTTTCACAAGTTAATTGGCAATAACAGCCAACCTACTTCTTTGTAGTCATCGCTAACCCATAAAGGTATTGGCGTCCCCCAGTAGCGATTACGTGAAATATTCCAGTCACGCGCATTTATAATCCAATTGGCAAACCGTTTTTCCTGCACAAAGTCTGGAACCCTAGAAATAAACACGAATGCCATAAGCACATATGCGAAACAATCGCGTAAATAAACAAACCAACCAATAAGTTTGATTATCATCGGTTACCAATACGTTTCTTTGTTGTTCTTCAGAAGTCTGTCAATAATAGGACGTACGCGAACAAACCATGATGGAACAGCTTTGTAAATCAGTGCTGTATCTGATCTGATATTAAAGCAAAAAGTCGATGAAATTAGAGATTATGGTTAATATTAAATTAGGTATGAATTTGTTTTACGTATTAAAGTTGGTAGCTCACCGCCAACAGAAAGGGTAACTGTGCATCAATTGTGACTGAACGATTAGCCGATTTTTTTGTTTCAATATTTTCTGTATCTCCTTGTCCGCTTCCTAAACCGTCAGAAAAAGTAATAGCACATTTATCTGTATCCACAGATACTCTTTTCTATTGTCAAGAAAATCTTCAGCCATTCCACCTTCAATCATTCCAACGTACCTTCACATGCATTGGAGAAAAATCAGGCACTTCACCTGTAAATCGGCCCTGTTCATCAACAGGGCACGGAAGAAAACCATCCTCAGTGATAATACCATTTTCCAAGCATATACGGTAATCGTCCTCACCAAACGCTGGAGCTTGGTGAACAATGCCAGTACCACTATCATCAGTAACATATGTGTCGTTTACAACTACAAAACCTCTCCCCTTAAACTTATTAAGAAACGTTGTTAAAAGTTTGGTAAGGAGAATGCAAAAGAAATGTTTATGAAACATCACGGACAATTGAATTCATGTAATATAAACATGCTCACCTGGGGGGCAAAATAATCAAACAATGGAACATATTCCCATCCTTTCATATCCTTCCCAAGATATTTTTGCAATACAGTATACTTGGCTTTTTCTGGATTCTTATAGAGAATCTTAAGACATTTTTCGAGAAGAATGTATGTATGGCCAGTCAGACCATCCTTGATCTTAATGTATTCAAATTCAGGATGTGTGCAAAGTGCAAGATTACTTGGGAGTGTCCAGGGTGTTGTTGTCCATGCCAAAAGCCAGGTGTCCGTATCATGAACCAACGGGAAGGAAACAACAACTGTATACATCAGCAACCGATATCAACAATAAGAATATTCATCTGATTCGTTAAATGTTGACAAACAAGATGCTATGTCATCACAAATTTTCTTCAAATAATGGTTGAGATATACTTACTCGCTGGATCATTTACGTCCTTGTAATTCTGAGCAGCTTCAAAATTTGATAATGGAGTTGTGCATGCTGTCGAGAAAGGCATAATCCTTACACCACGATAAACTTGCTCGTTGTCGTAAAGCTGCTTAAAGACCCACCATACACTCTCCATAAATGATGTATTGAGAGTTTTATAACCATTTTCAAAGTCGATCCATCGGCCAAGACGCTCAACCGTTTCACGCCATGCATTGGAATATCTCATTACGATGCTACGACATTCTGCATTATATTTGTCAATGCCCATTTTCAAGACGTCATCTTTGCCCTTCATTCAATAGATTAGTGAGCAACAAGAACGAGAATACTGAAGATGAAATCTATATTGAGAGAAGCACCTTGATGTTAAGGCGTCCGTCAATTTCGTATTCAACTGGAAGGCCATGACAATCCCAACCAAATCTTCGTTCAACATGATGTCCAGTCTGTGTGGCATATCTTGTTACAATATCCTAGTGAATGTTTAAAAAAAGCCTAATAAACAATATGCAAATAAAAGGGCAGGGATATTGTCATGTAAACATGTCATGATACAAATTCACAGAGTTATTTCTGATGGACAAATTCTAACAACGGTTTGTCTAATAGTGTATCAAGCCATGTGACTGGTTCACTTATAAGAAAATGCAGATGATTCAGCTGGAGTTTTTTGGTTTGCTTTTTTTCTCCCAATTCGCATTATTCTTGCATTATACAATTTTCTATTGCAAGTTAAGAACACGATCATTCCTCTGTGATGACAAATCTTACTTTTATAGTTCCAGCCAACAGATGCCCATAATGTGGCAAGCCAGTGGCAAAAGGGGGACCGTCGTAAAAACTGTACGGGGGTCTTCCTTCTGACAGCTTTAGTTGTGTCTTAAAAGCATCGATTTCCTGCCAGAATTTTAAAATTTTCTCTTCTTCCTCTGGGAAGTTGAATTGACTTGAGGATGCTTCATCATGCATCAAGAGCGGTTAGTTATTTATCCAAAAATATTTCTTGCGCTACTAGATTATTTTTATGGTTGGAGTGCAAGTTAAAGTGAAAATGATTTTTTTAAACTGATGTATCATACCGTCAGCTAGAGACATTACAAACAGTTCGTTAGGCGAAAAGAATTTTCTTAAAGAAATCTCTAGTTCGCAGTTATATTCCAATTGACACGTGACCGATTAATTTACTGCGGCAAACCAGTTATCCCACATTGTTCGATATTTAGAGTAGATCTAACCAATGAAAAGATCAGTACGTTGAATATTCGTTGCCGCGATGGCGTACATATTTTAGTCCTTAGGCTATTTTCAGGACATGGTATACAAATGCAAGTCAAGACAAGAAGTATCGCTCCATGTAGGTGAATTAAGCACGATTAAACAACATTAAGGCGAATCGGTTATCGCATAATGTACAAAGGATAACGGAGTTTGCAACTCTGTGGTTATGTCTTTCTCACTTTCACATAACTCAAGTGTAAGATCAAATTTCAGGAATGTCTTCCCGGAGAGAATTAAGCTACAAACCAATAATTATTCGGATACCTATTTCGTATACAATAATAGCTCACAATGAAACGTGCCCCTATCCTCTTATTATTAATTGGATATTCCGACAAAGAAAACTTTATTCAAACTTGATAAACAAATAGAGAGTATTGTTCATAGTGAAAAATCTATTTTAACATCCAAAGACATTCAAGTGGGGATTACTAGCAGTTAACACGAATCACGCGTTATTAAGCACTTGTCAATCAACGTAAGACATTAATAGGCTTATATGAGTCTGGTTCATTTACCCGATGCTTATTATTATGATAAGGCATTACTTAAATAATGACCGTTAATGACGTGTGGACTAAAACAGTACAGATGGTCTATTACCGGAATCATTTATTTCTTAGACTTTTCTCCTGGAGATTAACTATAGTAATGTTATGTGAATAATGCATAATTCTATTTTGTAGGCGAATTTTGATGATTGTGGCGTCAACCCCTAAAATAAACTTTGTGGCGTAATGTAGTTAGTAGCGCGCCTCATTCAACAAACAAAAGCAAGCAGGCAATACCACAATTTTGCATTTGCCCCAGTCCTCTAGAGCAATGGAGTCCTTATCTCCCCCGCCGCATCCTCTTCTATCACGTTCACCATCCCCAATTCCTCCCACGCACACAGACACCCCCAAGGACTTTGTCACGAAAGTCTTATCTCCACGAGTTGCTGTCGTTTCGTCTCCGGATGCCGACGAAGTCTGTAGAGCGAATAATTTTCCAACATTTCTGGATATGATTCGGCCCTTTGGAGAATTGATATCTGGCAAGGGTAAGTTGGATTGACTGGGGCTTGTGAGTGTTAATATGTAAGTGAATGTGATTAACTATTCAACATTAATTAAATTACCGTTACTAAATGATGGATCACTTCAGTTACCGCTCGTGATTCTCAAGGATTACCGAATCCAATCGAGCGTTTTACTGTACGATTTGCGGATTTGGCATACTTGGAGCAGCCTGATGTTACTCTTGCCTCAAGATTACTCGAGGAAAGAGCCAAAGCATTTCGTGGTAATCTAAGTTCACAACCAGTATATCCAAATATAAGATCGAAAGCGGATATTCAAAGTGACTATCTCGACTGTAAGTCATTCCAATGGGACTACTATTCACTTGCATTGCACTCCTGTAGCTAACGTGATTGACTTGCTTTATAGCGAAATTAGACGATATAACTCCATGGTATGCTGAGTATCGAAAACTATTCTTTCAATTAACCGGAGTCAGTGAGCACGAAACATTCGATCACCCTGTGGCTTGTATCCTTTATTGACAAAGTTATTAATGGTTTAAAAAAGAAAAAGCTACCTTGACTGCTGGAGATACATTATAGGCATCATCGCGATTAGCTCATCGAATCCAGATCCAATCGCAACCTTAAGCGAAATTTATAATAGTATGACATCCGCCCCAATATTCGGCGAGAGTTACCTTGACCCAGACATCTTGAAGTATTATGTCTTATTGCATGATGAACATAGAGTCGGTTTAGAACAGTTGAGTTATGAAACTATTTATCTCGTCTCGTTACACCCAGAGTAATATCGGCTCATAATGCAAATTTACTTTGTTTATCTTATTTAGCTCAGAAGCCGTCTTTAAGAAATTAAAACAGACGTTTGGACTGCATTGTCACCTATTGAAATTAAATTCGCTTCCGCCCCCATCGCCAATCGATCTAATGGATTCTACAAACACGCCCTCTCACACACCTGCTTATCTGCGTATTCCAGACGTATGGTCACCGATCATAAGTGAAATCGGCACCATTATGTCTATATTACAATCCTCCACATCAACGCCTTCGTCACCCTTTGAAGAACGACCATCTGCAAGTTCTCCGACCCTTCAAACCTTTGGTCTACCGCTTTCTCCCACATCCACATTAAATTCGCCATCTAGCGAAGAGTTTTTTGGAAAAGAGAAAGAATCAGGTGTCGATTCACAGAGTTGGCTGGGCTTGGGAATGATTGGAAGCTTACCCCCGTCTAATGTGCAATATGGATTATGTCTCAGTGAAGACGACTTTGCTGGAATTAAGACGTTTGTTCGTGAATTGGTTGCGCAAAGCATTGTTCCATATATGGAGAGAAGTATTCAAAGATGGAATGAGCAGGTACGCGATGTCTGCGGCCACATTATACTTTAGTTTATGTTAACCGAAGGTTCTGAATAGGTTGCTTCCTCCCGTCGTGGATTTACCGGTCGTCTATTTACAGTAGGTCGACGCTACTTTGGCGGTGGAACAAAAGCCGCGAGCCAAGTACAGCAAACAACACAAGCTGCGCATCGTGCAAATAATATGTTAGTTTTGGTTAGCAATTACTGTTTCATGTGAATCTAGGATTTGAAGCATCTCTGATGTATATTATTGACATTGGTCATGTTATACGAATATCTAGATATCCACATACTTCACCTGAAGCACAAATGAGAAAGTTGGCTGATTATGCCTTTATGCTTCGTGACTACCAATTCGCGCGTTCGGTGTATGACTCTGTAAAACGTGATTTTTCAGCCGACAAAGCTTGGAAATATTACGCTGGAGCTCAAGTAAAATATCTTTCGATGTGTATGATCTTACTATGGTAAGATTGTGAATAATAATGATTATTTTACATTTATGTAGGAAATGATTGGTTTATGTTTATTAATTGCACCGTCGTACGCAGACTCAAAGATAGACATTGATCATTACTTTGAGCAAGCAGTTAATGCTTTCAGTAATCGAGCGAAAGCTTCCTTTTGGGCTACAAAGACAACAATTCTTTATTACGAAATGTTAAAACATAGGAACATGTATAAAAATGCTCCACCTGCATTAATAAGAATGGCCGGTGATGTATGTAATCTGGAATTATGAGGGATATTAGAGGATTGTAAAAAAGGCTAATCTTGTTTGTATTCGCAGGACTCCGACCTAAGAAGTGCTTTATTCTTGGAACAAGCTGCGCATTCATTCCTGCGATGTAGCAGACCAAGGGTCAGAAATTTCGCTTTTCATATGATAATGGCTGGACATCGATATGGGAAATGCAGTCAGGTATTTAATTTTATAATTGTAACATCTTTACGTTGACATGCTTTGCTTGCTTTACTTATGAGAACGTCTCATTAAATACTTGTGATAGCGCGAACATGCATGCAGATGCTACTTGGCAGCATCTAATGTTTTCGAAGGTCATTCGTGGTCGTTAGTAGAAGATCACATAAATTTTGCTCTCGGACGTCAATTTTACCACTTGCGCGATCTTGACAATGCTTTGAAATTCTTCTTGAAATTGTTGAGGGAAAGTCGCCAGCCACCATCACAACAACAGGCTTATCTAAGAGAATTCCTAATTGTATATAAAGTACGCGCGCGCATTACTCTTTCCTGGAAATATGAGTACATGTTAATTGATTCTAAATTTTTAATGTCAGGTATACGAGAATAAAATAGACAAGGATTCTGTAATTGGTATACAGGAACTACCAGTTCCTAAAATTGATGATAATTCTGTTAGAGTTGTGCTCTCCAATTCACAGTCAAGCGAATTTGATGAGACATGGGAGATGATGGAACAAGAATTTATAGAGGAAGGATTCAAAGGACTTGATTCCCACGGTAGGCCTAGGGTACGACCAAAACTGTCAAGTAAGGATATGTGTCGGACGCTGTGTGCTGTCGGAGGTAATTTCCTTTCTAAGTATGTCGCCGTTAGTTCGTGTCGCGTCTTTTAATAATATCTTAGATCTCTTTTACACGTGTAGAAACGTTTTTTGTACATCTTACCTTATACAATCCAATGCAAATACCAATTACTGTCAATGATTTGGTCCTTGAATGCGAGTATACTGCTAATTCGGAATCCGTTGCAAGCGACAAGTCAGATAATAATATATTTCAATACGACCTGTCCGAAGATGTGAATATAAACTACGTAAAACTGGATGCATTCGATCTTGAAAAACTTTCAGAAGTCGCGTTGGGGGGTTTGGAAAGAAAAACTGTGAGTAACAATCAATTATTGTGGAATAAATTTGATATTCTTACGGTGCTCTTACATTGTGACTATGTCCCACAGGTCTCTTTGCGAGTGTTTCCTAAGAAAGAAGGACGGCTGAAACTTCTAGGACTTCGGTATGCGCTACAGTCGATTGTCTATTCTTATAAAAAATTCTCTAAGCATGGGAAACGCCTGAACGACACTAAGGAGCAAAGAATGAATGTAGTTTATGCTCCAGACAGTTCCCTCGAACTTACTGTCACTGCTCCTATGCCGCTACTTGAGGTAGCTTTCCGTTCGTTTCCCGACATGTTGCTTTCTGGAGAAGTGACTAGACTAGTGTTGGACATAAGTAATAAAGGTCAAACCGGATTGACCGATTTGAGGGTTAAACTGAGTCATCCAAGTTTTATTTGTATTGGAGATACTAGGATGTTAGATCGAAGTGTTTATAGTAAGAATTAGTATGACATTAATATTCTGTATTGGCTATATTTAGGTGTGATGAGTTCATCTTTTCACTTCTTTTGTTTAGGTGATGATCCTACGGAATTTTCTGAAACTCAATTAAGATCAGAGAGCTTTGCTATCAGTAATACTTTATCGAATAGTAGTATAATGGATGTGCCACTCCCTCATGATGAAACCACAAAGTCCGCTCTTCTTGCTCCCGGAAAGGCAACTTCGATTCCAATATGGATTAGGGGAGATAAAATTGGGAAACACACCCTCAGATTTTTGTTTACTTATGAATCAGAGGTATTGACCGCGCTGTTCTGTCAACATGGAAATCTCTCACGTTAAATGTAACCTGCGTGTTCGCATCCTGTAGGATAAGAACGCAGCTATGAGATATCGAAGCTTGCGATTTGTTACATCTGCTCAAGTTTTGCAATCTCTAAAGATAAGTGCATTTACTAGGCAAAGTACGAAGTATTTAAATGAGTACATCTTAGGCATCGAGGTAAATGCAGTGTATGGTTGAATCTGTTAACTTGTGAAAGTATTATTGAGCTTCACATTATATCATAGACCGAGAATCTGCAAACAACGGCAGATTTTCAATTGATACAATTGACATCCACAAGTCCGTCATGGGTTATATCACCTGTGACTCAAGCTTTAGAGTGAGTAATTTAGTTAGTTTTTGTATGTTTATATATGAGCGCTTAATTTTCGAACGTTCTATCAGCAATTCGACAGCTCTCATAGCACCCCGACAGACTACTTTTACATATTATCGACTGAGAAAAGTTACTACTGTTGCTCCGTCTGACGGCAAGACACCAGAACTGTATACATCAAGTGCATTCAAGAGATTGATCATGGGAGGAGAGAACGAACACATAGATGAACCTTCGCCGGTTGAACTGCTGGTTACTAACATACCTTTTGTAAGTTGTGGTGTACGTTTGTTATGTTCAACATTGTGAATGCGCCTTCTCAATCGCCACTATTATCTCTCACTAGTCCGACCGCATAATACCAAGCTCATCTAAACCGCTCGAAAGTTTTTCTATAAACTCTAGAATTCAATGGAAAACGAACACACTGCAGAATCAATTCCCAACAATACCGCAAAAGCAACATTCTCAAATATTTACTCTATATACTACTGATGATGTTGATATTGCATTGTATTGGAACATGCTTAATCTGCCAAGAAAGGGCCATCATTATATCATTGGAATCAACCTCGGCGTACAACAAAATCCGGTTGAAGGAAAAGATATTCTAATTGCACCGAGCAGGGCTCTTTACGAACAAACGGTGAAAGAGAGGACAGCCTTGATTAATGGTCTGTTGAAGAACAAACATTTTAAGGACGAGAATCCCTTGAAGTTAACGGTTACATGTAATGATGTGTATGAACATGAGTTTTCGGATATTGGGTGAGTATTCGATGAGGTGGAGGATGGTAATGTACTCGTAATTGAATAAAAAGTGTCCTTGTTGTGTAGTCTATGTACTATCCCGATAACCATTTCGATAAGGAATTGTTCTTGGAATAAACCGATAAGGTTCAAAATGGAGTTGCTTTCTTATGACCAAAGGTTAGTTATGTCAATAGTTGTCGGACAGAAAACAATGACCGAAATTTTAATAACCTATATCTCACTGTTACTTCGACTAGCAATACACCTCATAAGTCATATATGACAGTATTCCAATGGACAGGTGCAACAATTAGATATGGTTCGCTTGCTCCTGATGAAGAACACACAATCACTGCCATGGCCTGTTTTACTCAACCAGGCGTATATGATCTAAACAGATGGCGATTGACAGTAAACACAGATGACGATTCCCATACACCAAGTGATTTTCAACACAAAGAAGGATTCATCCAAATGCCAAGCGCTCCACACTTGGTTACGATAGTGAATAAGGAAAAATGAGGGGAATGTAAAATAAACAGAAAATTTATCATATTTAATAATAAATAAAATCAAATAACATAATATTAATTGATAAAAGAACAATCATAACTTCGAAGGTTGTATGATGCTCAAAACCCAGTTCTCCATCCGAGATAACTTTTGAATAGTCCATAGACCAGTCTATAACCTTACAAAAGAAAATTAAGAGAAAAAAGGTGGAATTGGCGCTCGCTGTCTTATTTAAAATGCGCAAAGACGGATATAAATCACATGTAAACGTTATCATAACAAATAAGCCAGATAAACATTGTTATGACAACAATTCTTTATTTTATTTTGTTGTCAATGGATCCTCAATTGATTTAAACGACTCATGTTGACTGGGTACATTCGCCATTAGTTTTCAATGGATTGTGTCCATTGAATCAAAAACGTATTAATATTAACGATGATCTGGTACCGTAGATGGCACTTATACATTCCATTGTATTTCAATGAGTATTCCTTTTGCTGAAATAATATACTAAATGATATATATTCACAACAAACGGGATGCATAAATTAAAATGTCCTGAAGCTTAATTAAAAAGGCTATTGCAATCATCCGCTAATGATAACGAGTTCGAAATCAAAATTGATATGCATTTACCACAGTTGTAAGAAACATTCTAGAAACACCGAACATATTAATCGAACCAACGAGCCTCTTTGTTTGTATTAGTCATCGTAAAATACTTCCATGTTGAATATTCCAACCACTTTTTTTTTTGTTAATGATGATTTTGAGCGATACAATAGTCCTAAGCTATGGTCTGTTTCTCTTCAAACAAAGGTCTTTGTTAATATTAAGAGATGTTGATATGGGTGATATCCAAAGTTTGTGAATTATAAATTGGACTAGTTTACAATTCGAATAATATAGATCGCGGTGAGAGCAATAGAGTAACATGCAACAACGGTTGACATGATTATGATCATAACTATGTTGTTTTTAATAAGAAACTGCTTTTACCTTTTTTTTGACAGCGAAACGCATGTTTAATAATCGCTACTAATAATAATAACGTTGCCTAACTACAATGTAACACCAAAATGTATAAAATACTGCTCCGGAATGTACAGTATTTGCTTCAATGTCGTTAGTTTTAGGGGCTTATATAGCAATTGACAACTTGATTCAAGCCTCCTTAGCAAGTGAATATATACTTAAATGGATTCCCTACTCGGAAATTAGCGGCATAAAGTCAAGTCAAATTGACACTATTCATTGCGCTATTCGCAAGGAAACTTTTGATAATGGTAGAGTTTCTGAAACGAAGATGATATTGCTATCTCTTGGAAATGATGAAATATGTACACCAACGTTTGTGAGCGAGTTTGCCAGGATATACTCACTTCCAACATATAAGTACAATAATAATAATGTCAAGGGCTTTAGAAGATATTCCACATTGCTTAGGAAACGCAATCGAATGATAGACGGATTTACCAACTATGATAACAACTATTACATGGTTGCTAATAGACGCTTTCACTATTGTTATTCTCGATATGGATTCTGCACTGCATGTGGAATACTCCGATGTAGTCCCGTGTGGTGCATTTGCGGACATAAACAAATATCCAATGGATGGACTAGCAACAATAAGCAACTCGACGAGTTTATTAAGAAATCTCAGTTACAAACAAACTCACCAAATCATGCCTATTTGGAATGGATTCCATTCGCTTGTATTGATTATTGGGGATACTTGGATCGTGAAGTGAAATTGATTCCACTTAAGATAACAAATAAGACAGATGGTTCATATTATGACAAGGTAAACCTCACGTTTATTAAATTGTTTGGATAATTTATAATTGTTGACTTGATACAACGTATCATTCATTAGTTATGTGATAAGCATCCAGACATTCTTGCCAAAGATGTTTGGATTACCATTGGATTTACATACCATTTGACGAAACGGAAGTATTATCTAATAAACGAATATTGTGAGAGGGGGTTGTGTCTGGCATGCATAGGAAGATTGGAACCCAATATGAATGCATTCTGTTATGAATGTAAGGCACCAAGACCTGTTGATTGGACGACTGGCAACAAACCATTGGATTTATTTATTATGGAATCATGGAGTAATACGACGAGTAGATATGATGCGTATATACAATGGATTGAATACTCTCTATTGGCGAACGTACAAGAGATGACATTATTACGCCATGGGTGTACACATATAGCAGGTTGGTTGGAACCGATAACAAATGGATGGACAACAGTAATGCTCAAAAAGATAGTTGACGGACAGGATTCTCAGTCGTTTGATTTTTACCAGGTAAATTATTTCACGCAAACAGTCTTATTAACTATTAGGTGTGTGTATGTTGCAGTTTAAATCAATCATTGTGGTAACGACTGTATTTGTTTACTCAAGTAGCTAACTAAACGATATCCAGAAATATTGACTCCGGATAATATTTGGATAATTGGAATCACCCAAGAGCCATCTACTCGAGAATATTATTTAGTGTTCTACCACAATTTACAAGCACTGTTGGACAAGTTTATACGACTTAATGAATATGTTCAGTATATGGAGTATACCGACTTTGATGAACTCAAAAAGATTGGATCTGGTGGTTATGGAACCGTCTATACTGCCAAATATAAAGGCAATTCAGAAAAAGATATACAAATACCAGAACTTGTTGTACTGAAACGCTTTAAGGGTTTTGATGAAACGCCGGAATTATTTATTTCCGAGGTAGGCAATCTTTGACAATATTAATTAAAGCGGTATTTAATCTGACTCTATTTATTTTATTTATTAGTTCAGAAATCACGCCAAGTGCGCGGTCACTTCTTTCCTTGAGATTTACGGGACCACACAAGACCCAGAAACAAAAGAGTACATGATTGTTATGCAATATGCTAATAATGGTAGTCTTTTGTCTTATTTGGATCAAAATATTAACAACCTGACGTGGAAGATAAAATTACGCTATTTGAAGGGTGTTGCAGACTATCTGGATGCTATTCATTATGCAGGATCTGTGCATTGTGATCTTCATGGCGGTAACATAGTTTTTCATGATAATTCAGATTGTAGCAAGTCTGAGACAGAAAAAGATTTTCGCATTAGTGATACATTTATATGCGATCTTGGTCTCTCCCGATCGGTGAATTCATCCGAATCGAGTTCAACCATTCGAGGAGTATTACCATTCATTGCACCCGAGGTACTCCATACTTGTAAATTTACTCGGAAATCAGACGTATATTCTTTTGGTATTATTATGCATTTGATTGCCACCGGTGAATCACCTTTTAGAGATAGGCCATTCGACAGAGATTTAGTGTGCGATATTATGGGCGGATTGCGACCACCGATGCCTGATTCAGCGCCAGAGGAGTATAAGAAAATTGCCGAGTTGTGTTGTGATGCTGATCCTGGCAAGCGTCCAGATGCTACAACACTTCTCAAGTCTATTTGCGATCTTATTGAAGAGGTGGACAAGGATAATTCTGACGACAACATGTGGAATACCATTTATCGCAATGATGTAAGACCCTTGTCACGTCTTGAGAAAGAGAGTAAATATTCTAGTAAGCTCTTACCTACTGGAGATTTGCCTAAACCAAGAAATAGTTTTCACCAGTTGCCTCCCCTATCAGATTTCAGCTTGCCAAGTTTAGAGGAGATGGACGAGATGTAGGGGAGATAATTTGATTCAGTGACTGGTATGAAGACAAGAATTGGTCAGATGTTGATATTAAATAAAGTCAATTAAAAATGCTGACATTGTCTACTATTATATTCACAATTTTGAATTGACATGTAATTTACAGTTTATTTATAGCTTACGCGAGTTTGTTCAAGGTTTATCCCTCTTCCAATGTGCTTAACACTTATCTGTCATTAGGCAATAAAGTTCTACATTAAAAAACACATCACGTTTGAATTAATAAATCCTGAGGACTTTGGTCTGCAAAAATAAAACAAAAACATTATGCCAGAAGTTTTGTGGTAGCAAACTCTGCATTAAAAACATTTCCCAGAAGTAAACACAATGTTAGGAGGAAAGTAGAGCTTTTAACAGATTATTTTTAAAACACACTAATCACATGGCCAAATACTCTTTTAAGAAAGTGACCCAGAATCTATGTAATACTTGGTTCAACAAAGTTACGATTGTGATAATCTGATAAACGTAATTATTAAATTGCGTATTTGTTATTATACAAAGTATTTATATCTTTAACTAATCTATTAGTCAAGAGGTTGATATTGAAGCCAACTAATAAAATAAGGCATTTTTATACCGAATGAAAACAAGAACATAATAGAACTTGAGACAAAACGTATGAGCTTAGATGCTAAGGTTAATATTTGTAGTTGAATTAAAATTTACGTATGTAATGGCGATTGTTAATTGTACCAGTTACAAAAATATTCTTTGTCATTCACCTTAAGTTTATTACGCGTCATCCGTTGGAGATATGGATATTGACATGGCAGCTTTATTGGAAGAAAGTTTCTACAAGAAATCTCAAGAGGTTAGTAACATGATGATCAATATAACAGATTCTTTCGCTCCTCGTTGTTCTTTCTAGATTTCTTAAAGGAAAATGATGAAGTTGACAGAATGCAGCCATGTTGACCATGGAAGTATTACATGATCAATATGTATTTATCCTCCACTCCTCGTTTGTGAATTAAAAGTCAATTTTCTTTCACAGCAATATTGTAAAAGTATATCGTTCACTACCGCTATTACCAATACAAACGAATGGACAAATCAAACTTTGTATAATACAAACTTATACACAAATAGTTTCTTCGAAGTATATGACAATCTCTAAATAAATCTTTTAATCAAAGGCTAGCAAGGAGGGGGTTTACTACGCTGTGTTAATTAACCTAATTGCTGAATTGATTTAGACAACTTGCAGCATGGATTTGAGGATAAACTTCAGCTTAGGTAGGCAAGGCTCTCTTTGCTAGTAAATCGGAATC